TATACTCAAATCTCAACCACAACTTTTACCTTTTCAACCACTTTATTAAAACTTGTGGCCAAAAGAAATGAGACTATCAAATTGGGACGGAGGGAGTATCAAATTGATGTGCTACCGGGGCATGCCCCGGGCTTTACATTAGTTTGGTATTATGATATACTCGTAAACTACGAAGTATTGTGATATATACTCATACATAATTTATTTATGTATATGTATATATTAAAAAAATGCATGATAATAACAACAAAAAATCAAAAGTTTCAGAAAAAATAATCACAAATTAAAACTATGTCCTTATTATAATCACAGAAAATAAAAAGAAAGAATGACCCAAATATTACTAGTGGAGTTTGAGAAGACAAAAATATGACCACTTCTTGTTTGGACAAAAAACTGACTTAAATAAAATCACCTCCTCCCTCCTCAAACTGTCATTCACCCCACATTGCACCCTTCTCTCTTCTTCCTTCAGATCGAGAGCTCCATGCCCTGCCTCAACTCACGCACATCGCCGCCAAGCCGCGTCGCGCCTCTCTGCCTCTCCACGTCACGCCTCTCCGCAGAATGTAACAGTTGGTGAGGGTAGGGCTGGCGGGGTTTGGGGAGGGCTGTGTGATTGGTGGAGGCTAATCAGTGATTGTACAAGGGTTGGGGGGTGCTGTGAGGGGTCAGAGCTACTGTGGGGGTGGGGGATGCTGGTTGGGGCTGAGGTGACGCAGGGGATGGGTTTGGGGTTTGGTGGTCGGAGCTGGTAGTCGCCGGCGGTGGGCGGAGGTGGTGGTGGACGGGTTGAAGAGAGGGGGCTGGGGCAGAACATGTGGGCTAAGGAGGTGGTGTGTTGTTGTATTTGTGGAGTGGTGATGGGACAGGGCGGTGGTGGACTGTTTGGGTGGGCGGTGGCGGGTGGCGGCAACAGCTGTGGTGGCTTGCAGCGGCAGAGGTGGTCGACAGTGGTGATCAGTGTCACTTTGGATGTGTCACTGTGGCCGGCGACAGTGACACCCGAGGCAGTGACATGGGCGGCGGTAGTAATAGTAGTGACACAGGCAGCAGAGTATTGACAGTTTAGCCGAAAAAGGTTGTCTGAAAATTTTCAGGCGGTTATAGTGAGTTAGTAACATTCAAAAGTGACATAAAAATCTGATAGTGACATATAATAGTGACATACTCCCTCCAGGTCCTTAATTAACTTTACACTTTCCTTTTTGGGCCGTCCCATATTAAACATTACACTTCCTTATTTGCCTCATTTGACAAACAAATCTACACCAAACAGTGCCAAACAGTGTCAAACAGTGCCAAACAGTGCAAAGCAGTGCCAAGCAGTGTACTCTACAGTAAAGTCAAATTTATTTCCTTAATATGTGTGAAGTCAAAGTGTAAACTTCATTAAGGACCAGAGGGAGTAATAAATATCTGACAGTGAAATAAAAAATGAGTGACAATGTTTTTCCATAAGTGTGACCTTCTTAATCACATTTTTGTCACTTTATAAAAATGGTCAATTTTATGTAAACCAGTTTACTCAGTTCATATACCGTGGGATCATCCCACGGTGAGCATCATCATGATCCACCTCCAAAACATCGTAGTTTTACACAATTTTTTTTTAAAAAAATCGAGTTCCCAGTACACGCGTGTACAATAGCTATTTTGTTTTCTTTTTGTCCTGGTAGCATGAATGATGTAACTCGCGTGTAAGGAAATGTAACTCATGTTGATAAAAAATGTAACTGCAGGCAAGTCTAAATAGAACTTGTCTAATACGAATTATAAGAAATAAAACATTGATTTCAATGAAAATAAGGAATCTAATTGCTCAATTACTTTACATAAATAGTGAATATGTTTTGTTATTAATATTAAGACCATAAATAACAAGGAGTCTAATTGCTCAAATTAATTTACGTAAATAATTAATATGTATGGATTTTAGTATTAAGGCCATAAAAATGTTTCAAAGAAAAATATTTTTTTTTTGCCAAAAAAATCATTTTTTTTGCAAAGAAAACGTTTTTTTTTTCAAAAAAAAAAAATACTCCCCTCGTCCCTTAAAACCTTGTCATCTTTCCTTTTTGAGACGTCCCAAAAAACTTTGCCACTTTTCCTTTTAATCAATTATTGTGTGGTTCCTGTTATTTCTCTCTCCTCTGCACAAATCTCAACCACACAGTTTTTACTTTATTATTCTCCATGCTGGTCAATTTTGGCAAATTTTTAAGGGGCAGAGGTAGTAATTTTTGTTTGCAAAATAATGATTTTTTTTGTTTCAATAGTTGGGTTTATTTTGTGATGTAATACGTGTTATGAAAAAGTGTAACTCGCGTAGATGGAAGATCTAACTTAGGTGTATGCAAAATATAACTTGTTTAGACAAGTCCAAATGTAACTCGCGCATAGGAAGATGTAACTCATGCACAAGAAGATGTAATTCGCTCATAAGAAGATTTAACTCCATATACTATCAAATGTAAACAACGAAAATAAGGAGTATAATCGTTCAATTAATTGAAGTAATTAGTTAATATGTTTTGCTTTTAGTATTAAGGCCATAAAAAATGTTTTAAATGAAAATAATACACCAAAAAGTGTATAAAACAAGTGTATGAATATGAAAAATATTTTACAAAAAAAGTGTATAAATGTAAAAAATATTACACCAAAAATAAATTTGTAGTACTTATTTTATGTGGATTAGGAAAATTTTGTAATAAATTGGTAAAGGAAAGAGTTAATTTAATTGTAATTTAATTAGTTAAAAATAAATAGTAGAAAAATCAAAATTAGTTTTTAATATTTAGATAGAGAGAATAAAATAATTGAAAGAAAAATAAAGAGAGAGTGCTCCAAAGAAATCTGGAGGGATCATGAGGGGAAAGAAATGAAACTAACGTACGTAATGCTCCAGAGAAGGAAAAACGGTGCCGTATGTGGTACCGGTATACCATGCACATGGTATACCGGTACCACGGTATAATTTGCACAGTTTACTAGACTCTTAGCAATCTCCACATAAAGTACTCTCCCCGCATAAAATATTTTACGTGTAAAATGTTTTAAAAAATGTTTCCTAAAATGTTTAGCTCGTGACGCTTTGCACTCAAAGTGTTTAGTTTAAGGTGCTGTTCTATTCGTCTTATTCTTATTACTTATTGCTTATTCTTATTTTAGTCAGATCAGAAAAATTGAGATCAGATCATATAAGATCAAATCAGATCAGAATGATTCAGATCAGATCAGATCAGATCAGAAAGATTCAGATTAGATTAGAAATATTCAGATCATATCAGATTAGATCAGAAGCATTCAGATCAGATCAGATCGGATCAGATCACATCAGAAACATTCAGATCAGAAACATTCATAGCAAATTGGAAACATTCTATTATTTTCGATTATCATCATCATCATCATCATCATCATCATCATCATCATCATCATCATTATTATTATTATTATTAATAATATTATTAATATTATTATTATTATTATTATTATTATTATTATTATAATTATTATAATTATTATAATAATTATTATTATTATAATTATTATTATTATTGTTATTATTATTGTTATTATTATTGTTATTATTATTGTTATTATTATTGTTATTATTATTGTTATTATTATTATTATTATTATTATTATTATTACTATTATTATTACTATTATTATTACTATTATTATTACTATTATTATTACTATTATTATTACTATTATTATTACTATTATTATTACTATTATTATTACTATTATTATTACTATTATTATTATTACTATTATTATTACTCTTATTATTACTCTTATTATTACTCTTATTATTACTCTTATTAGTACTCTTATTAGTACTCTTATTAGTATTATTATTAGTATTATTATTAGTATTATTATTAGTATTATTCTTATTTTTATTCTTATAATTATTCTTATTATTATTATTATTAATATTATTATTATTATTATTATTATTATTAGTATTATTATTATTAGTATTCTTATTATTATTGTTATTCTTATTGTTATTGTTATTGTTATTGTTATTGTTATTGTTGTTGTTATTGTTATTGTTATTATTGTTATTATTATCATCATTATTATCATTTTTATCATCATCATCATCATCATCATCATCATCATCATTATTATTATTATTACTACTACTACTATTGTTATTACTGTTATTACTATTATTACTATTATTACTATTAGTATTATTATTATTCTTCTTCTTCTTCTTCTTATTATTATTATTATTATTACTATTATTACTACTATTATTATTTTATTATTATTATTATTTTATTATTATCATTAAATAATTATAATTATAATAATAATAGTTATTATTATTAATTTATTATAATTATTATTGATATTACTATTAGAATTAATATGATTAGTATTAAAATTATTATATATCGGTTTAGAAAGTTAAGATCAGATCATAAGAATTCAGATCAGATCAGAAGCATTCAAATCAGACCAGAAAGATTCAGATCAGATCAGAAAGATTCCGATCAGATCAGATTAGAAAGATTAGATCAGATCAGAAAAATTCAGATCTGATCAGATCAGAAAAATTCAGATCTGATAAGATTAGAAAAATTCAGATCTGATCAGATCAGATCTTACAAAATTCAAATGAGAAACACTCAACCCTAACGTCTTTCTAAGTCATAATAACAAGAGAGAATTCCTTAAATAGGAGTAAAAAAAAATTGAAATTCCAAAATAGGAATATCATATTTTTTATTCCTTGAATATGAGTAAATTTCTCCTATTTAGAACAATTTCTGTAATAACAAATGGTCCTCCTTATAAAATACTCCCTCCGTCCCATATTTATCTTCGGTTTTGATCGGGCACGAGTTTTAAGATAGTGAGATTTCTGTGGTGGAGAGTTATGAAAAGGAGAGAGAAATGTGTAAGAATGATTGTGCCCCACATATTATTTATAAAAAAAGCAAAAATGAGATAAATTTGATTGGGACGAATAGAAAAGGAAAGAAGGAAGGATGTGCCTCCTATCTGGGAACGTCAAAGCTCGGGAATTAAACCTCTTAGCTAATCCGTGAAACAAATTCAACTAGAGAGCTTTGCCGTCAAACGAAGTTGCTGGCTCCAAGAGCTGTTTCCGGCGCCTCCGCCACCATAACTGTCCAATTGCATCTGTAAGTCTGTAACTTTCTATCTCTGTGCATATGGGCATCCTCATTTCTCAATTTATAAATGACTGAATGATGATGTGTTGTATCGCTGAGCTATTACCCTAAATGCATGCTTCCATTCGAATCTTTTCTTTCTCAATCATTAGACTTCTCTTCAAGGAAAGCTAGTCAATCTCCTTCTTTTCCTCAAGCTTCAATTAATATTTTTGTTTCCTTTCTTGAATAACAGTCAGGGATGGATTTAGGGGGGCGCGGGGGCGGTCGCCCCCCTTGGATTTTTTTTTAGTATATATATATATGTAGTATTCTCGTAATTTTTTGAATTTTACCTTGATCAGAATATTCAAAATCGCCCCACTTAGGGCATAGAAAAATTTCAATTACCTTATAGGAAAAATATAAATTAGGATTAACCATTAAATTTTTAATTTTAAAAAATATTTAGATTTGACCCGGTGCAAATAAAATACTGGCCCGGTGCAAATAAAAGAAGAGTGATGAGTCCAAGAGAGAGCAAATGGCGATTGTATTGAGATTCGTTGATAAAGAAGGCTACATTAGTGAAAGATTTTTTTATATAGTTCATGCTAAAGAGACTACATCATTAGCTCTGGAGAAAGGAATTTCAGAAGTTATATCTCGTTATTGTCTTAGTGTGGCGAATATTCGAGGACAAGGATACGACGGAGCGAGCAATATGCGTGGTGAATGGAATGGTTTGCAGGCCTTATTTTTACAAAAGTGTCCATTTGCCTATTATGTTCATTGTCTTGCTCACCGGCTTCAATTAACATTGGTTGCTACTTCCAAAGAGGTGATTCCGGTTAGTCAATTTTTCTCATATCTGTCTACCATTATTAATTTGGTCCTTTGTTCTTGCAAAAGGATTGATCAACTGAGAGACTTTGAGTCATTACACATTGAGGAGATGATCACCAACGGTGATATTGAAACTGGTAAGGGGAAAAACCAAGTTGGCACTCTCCAACGTCCGGGAGATACTCGTTGGGGTTCCCATTTAACCTCATTTCGCAGTTTGGTAAGGATGTTTAATTCTACTTGTGATGTGTTGCGAGACATAATTAAATCTGGGAGCATGACACAGAGGAGTGAAGCCGATGGAGTGTATGATGTGATAACATCTTTTGAGTTTGTGTTTATTTTACATCTCATGATTGATGTGCTTGCAGTGACAGATGATTTGTCTCAAGCCTTGCAGCGTAAATCTCAAGATATACTGAATGCAATGCATTTAGTGTCATCAACAAAAGAGCTTCTCCAAAAAATGAGAGAACATGGATGGGATCTCTTACTTGAGAAAGTGAAGTTATTCTGTTCTCAACATGGAATAGAAATTCCAAATTTCAGTGCTGCATACAAAGCTGGGTGAGGTCGACCCCGCCATCAAAGAAACAACAGAGATTGTCTTACATTGGAGCATCACTATAAGTTTGATATATTTAACTCTGTTGTGGATAAGCTTATGCTAGAACTGAATTATCGCTTCAAGGATGATGTAGTAGAGTTACTTGTTCTGAGTTCTGCTTTGGATCCAAGAGATGATTATAAGTCTTTTCAAGTTGAAGATATATGCAAACTTGTGAACAAGTTTTATCCTGATGATTTCTCTACAATGGAAAAGGAACACTTGAGGATTCAGCCGGAGCATTTCAAATTTGATGCTCAACAAAATCTAGAGTTGAAGAAAGCATCAACACTAGCGGAATTGTGTGAATTAATGACGAAGACTCGGAAGTCAACCATTTATCCTCTTGTTGATAGGATAATCCGTCTCTTACTAACTCTTCCAGTTTCAACGGCAACCACAGAAAGAGCATTTTCAGCCATGAAAATTGTGAAGACTTGCCTCCGAAATAAAATGGAGGATGAGTTTCTTTCAAGCTACCTGGTGACATATATAGAGAGACACATAGCTCGGGGGTTTTCAGCAGATTCTATCTTATCTCGTAGAGTGCAGTTTAGAATGCCTAACTTTCATACGTAGAAGGGGTTGAATGAAAATTCCTATTTTGTTGTTCTTTTTTGCTGAAGTTATGTGAAATATTATGCATTTGGTAATCTAAACATTTTAGCAAATATATGCTACATTTTGTATATTCCGTATGACCGTATAAAATTTTGCGAATTCGCCCCCCTTGGTCAAATTTCCTGGATCCGTCCCTGATAACAGTTTATGAATAGCCTCAAGTTTCATCTTTTCTCAAAATAGCAGGGGCTGGTAGTGGTTTTTTTTACCGTAAGCCATTTTTTGTATTATGTGTGTGGTGGCTTTAATCTTTCCAAAATTCCCATATGCTTTTGTGTGCATTTCAAGTTGCTGAATTAGGCCTCGGGACCTTTTGTTTCGAGAATCAGTCTTCTCTCATTGTTTGGAACATAATTAAGCAACATTTGGAATTCAACTGGTGATTTTTGTTGCCAAAACTTAAGTGTTTGAAAATTCTTCCAGACTGCCGGATGAACTGAAGAAAAATATGGGCATTAGGAAAAATCAACAGGTTTAATATTTTATATGTATTCTGGTTTAGACATTATTTCTTAATTTTAACTCCATCTAGTAGTTTTTCACTGACAAAGATATAAAAATATCATTCTTACATCAAACAATACTTTATTTAAAATTTTAATTTAAAAGTAATTTCGAACACCCACAACTTAGTTGCTAGATCTGCCATGGGTGCTCAGGATGTGACTTGTCTTGTTTGGTTTCGTTCCTTACAACGTACGACGGTAGGAACAGAGAAGATCGTCGTATTTCTTTGGATAGAATGCGGCAATATGAATAGAGAAGGTCGTGCTTTGCGTTGAGGTCTTGAGGACGTGGGGGTTATCACTGTTGAGAAATGTAACAGAGACCGAGAGAATAAAATGAAGATGATAACAAAGGTTTTTATATTTTCAGAAGTAGGTGTACAATATTCGTACAAGAGTATTAGGAAAATATCCATAACTGTCAGCTAACTAACAATAACAATATTAACAAAGTACAGTCAGCTTTTATCCATTCAAAATGCACAATCAGATATATTCCTAATATTCCCCCTTCAAACCGAGGGTGATTGAGTTGGACATTCAATCACACTAAGTCTGGTCTTTAACTCAAGAAAGCGAGAGCTGGAAAGAGGTTTGGTCAGCGCATCAGCAACTTGATAGAGAGTAGGGATATGTAAAACTTCAAGTTTCTTTGATAGAATATCTCCAGGTACGTACACAGAAATTTCACAGAAAAGAAAAAAATTCAAGAACTTTATTAATGGTGAAAGTTTACAGCCGAAGCCCCAAAAGAGAGAGATGATAAGTCGCAATCTTCCCAGTCCAGACTAAACATCAAAACAGCCTGCCTTCCACTCCCAGACTTATTCTATTTATAGTTTTCCAGCTCAACCGAAGGCAGTTATTAGCTAATAACAGACTTTAACTAACAACTAACTATTCTATTTATTCCTTCTAGAATAGACTTTGCCAAAGTATTTATCTTCTTTACTCAGTTGAGCTGTATCCCTATCAATACTCCCCCTCTGAAAACCCAACTTGTCCTCAAGTTGGAATGCTGGAAACTGTTCCTTAATGACCTGTTCCTTCTCCCAAGAATCTTCAAATTCCGGAAGGTCGTCCCAATGCACGGGGACTTCTTTTCCCCCTTAGGATTGAATCTGACATCCTTCACCTCTTCAGGCATCACCAGCAATTCACATTCGTCTGTCAGACATTTAGAAATATCTTGATAAGTAGTTGTAGGTGTCGCCACAGGGTTTATCTTCTCCAGGATCTGATAGGGTCCATAGAATCTGGTACTTAATTTCTGATTAATCCTCTTGGCTAAGCTCTTCATTTTGTAAGGCTATATCTTCAAAAACACCCTGTCTCCCACCTCTAATTTTAATTCTCTTCTGTGTTTATCTGCTTGCTGCTTCATCTGGTTCTGAGCCTTAGCTAGATGTTCTTTTAGTTCCTTGAGAATCTCATTCCTTTCGGTTGTTAACCTTGATACTTCAACCACGGATGACAAACTGACATCTCCTTTGATTATTGTAGGAGGTTCCTGACCAAATAGGGCTTTATAGGGAGTATTTTGTAGGGAGATGTGGTAGTTGGTATTGTATTAAAATTATGCCCAGGGTAACCACCTAACCCATTGTTTGGGTTTTCTGCCAGTCATACATCTCAAATAGGTCTCCAGGCACCTGTTTACCACCTCAGTCTGCCCATCACTCTGGGGATGGTAGGCAGTGCTATACTTCAATTGAGTACCTGCTGATTTAAACAATTCAGACCAGAAAGTACTCAAAAATAGGCTATCCTTGTCACTAATAATGGACTTGGGAAAACCATGTATCTTCACCACTTCTTGTATAAATAGCTCAGCAACTCCCTTAGCATTGTAAGGGTGAGGTAGAGGCAGGAAGTGTGCAAATTTTGTTAGCCTATCAACCACCACCAAAATAGTATCCTTGCCCATAGACTTAGGCAGTCCCCCAATAAAATCCATACTAATGTCAGTCCAGATATTATCAGGAATAGGCACTGGTTGTAACAATCCTGCAGGTTTCAAGGCTTGATATTTGCTCCTCTGACATATTTCACATCCTTGAACACCCTATATACTATCCTCCGTATTGTATTAGTTGCAACATTGGAATTTATACACTATTCATGTACTCTACTTAGACTATATTTTATTGATTAATGTATGTGAATTATTTTTTTTGAAAAATACTGTTGAATTTGTCTCATTACATAGTTTCATAATCTGATTTTTAAAATGTTTTTACTAATAAAGAATTAAATATAATGACGGTCAAAGTTGTACGTTGCCAAACGTGAAAAAGGGGATGTTGCAACTAAAAAAGAACATAGGAAGTACTTAATAGTAATACAAAATCATCCTAACCCTTCATTTTCATGGATCTACACCGTCCAATCACCTCAGCTCTTTTCTTGCTCACCTCTCTGTCTTCTCCAATGCCACTTTTCAGGATTTC